ACAGAAATGAAATTCATTCTATTATAGACAAGAAATAACTGTTTAAAATGACTGTGGATTATTTCCAGAAAAGCTTTCTGTATATACTCATACCATTGATTTGTTGTAGTAAAGATAAAAATCCATATCAAACTAGAAGAAAAGTAAAAGTGCAAAGATATGGTGAACAATTGAGATAACTCCAGCCTTACCTATTTAAACAAATTTTTGAAGTGGACAATTGAAAATGATTAAAAGAACAAACACTGATGCAGACTAAGGAAATTCAGCTCATGTAAATTAATTGCCACAAGGATGAGACCAAAAGAGTCTAGAGACCACTTCAATCATAAAAAAAATCCTTGAGCACCTTGCCTAGTGAAGAGAAATGACAGCCAAGGATTTAAATTGAGTTCATAGCATAAAATGATATGTAATATCTTATATTAGAAAATAGTGCATGATCATCATTTTGTAAGCAATGTAACCTCATAAAATTCCAAAAAACCCCAAAAGTAAAAATGAATTTTAAAATGTTTGAGAAGAGGCCCACCTAATCAAAATTAGCTTAGTGAAATATAAGGATAAAAGTGGAAGGAGTATGAGAATGGAACAAAAATGGAAAAAAATCAAGAACTTTTGTTCATCCTCTTTCCACCATCAATATTGGAGCTACCACATTTGGATTATAACAGTCCTAATACCTAAGAAAACAACGAAGTGGCACTAAAGAAAATGAACCAAATATGTATCCAAGGAAGTCTGTGCTGGAATCAAAAACAATTTGAGAGTGTTGAGACGTTGATAAAGGATCTTAAAAAGAGGAGGTCACCAAAAGCATGAGAAAAAACATATTGTTGCCAGAAAATAGAGTTAAGAGAATATTTATAACTTCTGGCCTCTACGCCTATTTTTCCATCTTTACAAAAATTTTTATGAGAGTCATTTATAGTTGTTTCTAGGGTACCCTTAATAAAGGTATTTTAATAAAATAATAATGATATATTAATATAATGATACTATATATTATAATATATAAAATTATTAGTAATTATGTTTGTTTATAAATTATATACATACATAAAAATAAAATTCAAAATATAGAATTATAATAATATATGCTATGTGTTGTACATATATATATATATATATATATATATATATATATATATATATATATATATATATATACAAAATAATAATAAAAGGAAAGCCTTTCTTAAACTACTTTCTATAACAGATCATGTCTTTGTATAATCACAGTTTCCTAAAGGGTACACAGAATACAAGATCCTACTCTTATTGTTTGTTGACTATAAAAAAGAATTTTATTCAATAGTACAAAACGCCACCTTAGAAGATTTAACAACACAGGAACCTTTGTTTGATATCTCTTTCGTTAATATCTAGGAAAGCATAAAGCAGGGAGGTATATATATGCTCAGTCTTGGAGGATATCCAACTCAAGAGTCCAAATAGAAAAGAAAATCCCCATAGCTAATATAGTCTTCCAAATAGGCTTGCTCCCATTTGCAGATAATATTGGATAGTGATTGCATTAAGTCCTGGAGCATTTCAGAGTCTCCCAAATGAGATTAACTTTCACTCAAGTTTGACCCATCAATAGGGGGAAAATTTTGAAAAGTTACAATGCCTGTTTTCAAAACTGTGATGATGACTGGTAGTTAAATGGACACTTCACAAGTTAGACAACAAACTGGGCCTAGAATCTAGCAAAACAAGGAGAGTGGCATGCATTGCCTTTGGGAAAGTACAGTGCTTCTAATGACTCCAACTTATTCATGAATCAAAGGCCCATCTTTTTTTTTTTTTAATCTCAATAGTATTTTTTTCAATTACATATAAAGAAAGTTTTCAACATTCATTTTTGTAAAATTTTGAGTTCCAAATTTTTCTCTCTCCCTCCCTTCCCTTTACCCTCCCCAAGACAGCAAGCAATCTGATATAGGTTATACATGTACAATCATATTAAACATATTTCCATATTAGTCATGTTGTGAAAGAAGAATCAGAACAAAAGGGGAAAAACCACGAGAAAGAAAAAAGTGAAAATAGTATTCTTTGATCTGCATTCAAGCTCCATAGTTCTTTCTCTGGATATAGATAGCATTTTCCATCATGAGTCTTTTGGAATTGTCTTGGATCAGTGTATTGCTGAGAAGACTAAGTCTATCATAGTTCATCATCGCACAGTGTTACTGTTATTGTGTACAATGTTCTCCTGGTTCTGCTCTCTTCACCAGCATCAGTTCATGTAAGTCTTTTCAGATTTTTCTGGAATCTGCTTGCTCATCATTTCTTATAGCACAATAGTACTCCATTACATTCATATACCACAACTTGTTCAGCCATTCCCCAACTAATGGGCATCCCCTCAATTTCCAATTTTTGGCTACCATAAAAAGAGCTGCTATAAATATTTTTGTACATATAGGTCCTTCCTTTTCCCTCTTTTATGATCTCTTTGGGATACAGACTTAGAAGTGCTATATTGCTGGGTCAAAGGGTATGCACAGTTTTATAGCCATGTGGTCATAGTTCCAAATTGCTCTCCAAAATGGTTGGATCAGTTCACAAAAGAACCATCTTTTTAACAGTATTCTTCCGCCTATTGTGTGTGATTACCCTAGGGACAATGGAGAGGTACATGGTGGGCTTGAGCAGGCTGCAGCCCATTACAAAGATTTGTGCAACTAAAGTAGTATAAAGCAGAGGTGTCAAGTACAAGACCAAGGGCTGCATTGTGCCCCATAATACTCAGGAGTGAGTAGTGAACCAAATTTGAAAATATTTAACAAAATAAACAAAAACAGAATAGAATATAAGTAATGTTAATATGTGATTTTCTAGGTCAATATGCAGCCCTATAGGAATCCTTAGGTAGTTTTAGCAGCCCCATTTCTATGTGAGTTTCACACCATTGATGTAAAGGTTATCATCAGAAGTGTATCATTAGAAAGAATGTGAGCCAGAGTGAAGGATAATTAATACTCACATGCATGTTTGGTATCTAAGCAATGTTAAGAGGACTAAAGAAAGCCCCCCCCGCCCCCCCCCCGCCGCATGCTTAGTAGAGAATTTACAGAACAATAAAGACAAGAATCACACAGGATGAGAAGGCATTAAATAGGCTGCTATTGGTATCATTATAGGAAATATCTACATTGATGAGGTTATTGATCCATCAAAGTATTAAAGTTAAAATTCACAACTCTGTAAATTACAAATATTAATATCCCTATTTATTTAGATGAAGAAACAGGTATTTACCTATGATCACACAACTATAGTAGCTGTAGTTTATTAGGTATCTGAGACAGAACTTTCACCCAGTCCCCCTCTTTCCAATTCTGGTACTCTTTACCTCATGACATAGTAAAGGCCCATAATTTTAGAAATTACTCAGTTAATTTGGCTGTTTTCTGTGCCTTACATTTTTTACAAAAATTGAGAGCTTGGATTCTATACAAATTTATGAGCTATTAAAAATCCCAAAAATCACTACTTAAGTACTAAAAAAACAGTTTAGCTAAAGAAAATTATGTATTTCAACCTGTTGTAGTTCTTATCTAATCCAACCCTTTTCTTTTTAAAAATGAGGAAGCTAAGGATCAAATTAGTGAAGTGATGATTTATTCCCTCTTAATAATTTTGTTTTGTTTTGTTTTGTTTTTCCTAATTCAACAAACATTTCTTGAGTACCTGTCATGGTTTTACGAAACGTATTTTTACTTACTTACAGTTATCTTTCCAACACCAAAATTTCTAGATTTTGTATTCTATTTCTTATAAAAAAACTTTTTCCTTTGCAAATGATACTGTTGTATACTTTGACGTTCTTATATTTTGTAAGTTTTTAATCATCTACTGAAATTTTAGTGTGTTTTGGTACACCAGGAAAAATTCGAAGGCAGGGTTTTGTTTTGTTTTGTTTTGTTTTGTTTTGTTTTAAGGCCAGAATTCATTTTAAAATCTCATGTTGGTTTGAGCTTTGTCTTCTAGGGTCAATCTTAACTAATCTGATTTTTCAGTCAGAATAATTTTCATCATAAATAGCATTTTAAAAAGAAACATATACTTTCCCATATTCTCAATCATATAACACCATTTATGAATTTGATCTGAATATAGGCCATCCCTAAATATAAACCAAACCCCTAATATTATATCTTTCTGAAAGGAAAACAGTATATAGGCTGAAAATAACACCAATTATCAGCCTTATTCTTGTGTTTGTACACAATGGATATAGAGGAAAGATACAGCCCATATCCAGGGCAGTCAGATGGATCTCAAATCTAAATTTGTGATTCTCCTCCTTGAAGATTCTGAAGTATATTTGAAACAAGAAAACTTTTTCTTGTTTTTTCACAAGAAAAACTGATTTAGGAAGTTTCAGAATCAATTGATCAATCAATAACAAGCGTTTATTAGGCATGTACTATGTAGCAAGCTCAAAAACACTGGGAATGATTAATAGTATTACTCAACATGACTTTCCTGCCACTTTTATTGATCTAATTAATAGACTTCATTTTGGGGGAATACTTTGTGTTTGAATTTAGGGGCATGCTGACAAATGAAAACTTTATGTGTGTCATTAGTTGATCATTACTATAAATTCTTCAAAGTCATGAGTCCCAGAATTAACTAGAGAGAGCAAATGAAGCTACTTTATAATTATATTATTACTGCCTAATTTTTGTGGAAAATAAGTTATCTTGGTAGTAGTTCTCTAATTTTTTTTGTGTATTTGGTAATTTAATCTTCCTTAATTTTTTGCCCATGTATACATATACATATATATATATATATATATATATATATATATACACACACACACACACACACACATACACATATGTGCTTATAGAAATATTACAAAACTTGTGTTAAAATATCTACTAAAATTATTGAATTCTCATTGGAAATAATTATGTCCTTTTTTTTATCTTATTTGTTAGTAATTCTATAAAAATGCAATGATTATTGTTTTATAGGCAGTTGACTGGTGGAGTTTAGGTGTTCTTATGTATGAATTATTAACTGGAGCATCTCCATTTACTGTTGATGGAGAGAAAAATTCCCAAGCTGAAATATCTAGGTAAGTATAATAAAATAAATTTGTAGTTTTTCATTGAAATTGATTGAAGTGCCACAGGAAGCAGATTAAAACATAATCTTAGTTCAGGTTTGTTGGAAAAACTTATTTGGAGAATTTCCATATAGTTGGCACCATTGTATTTAGAAAGAATGTTAGTGATTTTGATTTACAAAGACAGGATTGATTTAGAAGGAGTGAACAGAAACAACATAAAAATCAAAGTTTAAGTCTCAGATAAAATTTACATAGTCGCTTTCTCACTATCTAAAGAGCTTTGTTATTAATTGTGCTAAAACAGATATTTAATGTTCTTCAATAGAGGAGGTAAGTAACCTAAAAATTGCAACATTGTCAGTGTGGGGTTTTTTTGGTTTTGTTTGTTTGTTTGTTTTAAGTGACTTGCCCAGGGTCACACAGCTAGTAAGTGTCAAGTGTTTGGTCCTAGGCTAAATTGGAACTCAAGTCCTTCTGACTTCAGGGCAGGTGCTCTATCCACTGCACCACCTAGCTGCCCCTCTTGTCAGTGTGTTTTAAAAACTAATTTTGCAACTTGAATTGTACAGTCCAGAATGACAAACTGACACTAACTTAAAGTCTTATTAATATAATCAGTACTTTTTTAAAAATGTAAGTATTGGAAAAACAAAGTAAAAAAAAAAGTAAATGTAAGTATTGTGACTAGATATTGTTACCAATCAGTTTTGCTCAGTTTTCCTTCATTATATGCTACATACATTCAAGTATTATATTAGTAATTAAGGCCAAAGATATAATTTTGAATATTGAAATATAGCTATGTGCTGTAGATATATAAAATTAAAGGTGTTATTTTTCTTTTCAAAGAGTCCCAAAGTTAAATTTGAAATCTCAGGGAATTGTAGAGTATTTTGTGGCATGCCAAAAATATTTTTGTGGCCAAATATGTTTAATATTCAGAGAACTGTTCTTATTTTAAATGGGGAAAAAAGATCTAGTATTTCTAAAAGTGACATAATCTTGAAGAAAGTTCTCTACATGAGTCTAGTGAAGTTGTACTTAAGAAATCACTCATAATTCTACATATATCATAGGCCTGGTTTTCCCAACACCTTCAAGACAAGTACAAGTGGTAATGCTTACCCCATTGTGGGCCTGCCTACCCAGACCATGATGTATGAATATCTATTGTCTCACTATCTATGAATGGCCAATGGAATGTAACCCTTTGCTCTTTAGCATTTTGTCCTGTTTTGTTTGTGCTCTGAAAATCAAAGCAATTTACATGTCTTTTGAGCAGTCAAAGATAGTGAGGTTTGAAAGAAACTGCATTGTAAAGGATTTCCTTTCTGTTTTTTTTAAGTGTGAATATGACCTTATTTTTATATGAGTATACTGCTAGAAATCACAAGTCTTCAGTCTTAATTACAGAATTAGGACTAATTCATTAAATGATTAAATTACTGTTTTAAATCAAAGTTTTCTCATTAAAAAAAGGTGGTGCTATTTTATGTTCATTAAGTTATGTGACTGGGGCAACTAGATATGGCATAGTAGAGAGAGCACCAGCCCAGATTCAGGAGGACCTGAGTTCAAATCCAACCTCAAATACTTGACACTTACTAGCTATGTGACCCTGGGTAAGTCACTTCACCCTGCTTGCCTCACTCAAAAAAAAATTATGTGAGAAAACAAGATAAAGATTTATGTAAATTTAACATGTTTTTTGTGACATAAATGATTTTTAAAATTATTTTTATACCACATTACCTTAGAATAATACCAAAAACTCTTTTAGTTTTTAAGAATTTTATAGTTGAATGTTCTTCTTTATATATATATATATGTTCTTTTTATAATGGCCTAACTTGTAAAAACTAATAGTCTTTTAAAGAAATACAAAAATCTCATTATAATTTAGTAGATATGCATTGTTAATATCAAAAATATTCATGTTTATATTGCTCATAAAACAATATTAGTGATAGAACTCACAACCCAGACTAATTCCATCATTATATTAAATGTTTTGAGAGTTTGGATTTTTTTGTCTTTGAATTAATTTATGATTCCATTTGTGTAAGAAAATTCTTCTAATGAGAAGCTTGATTTAACAGTGTTATTTGGCAACTCTTTTGCAATTTCTAGTCTGGAAGAGTTGCCTGGGGTACTGAAAGGTTGAATGATTTGCTCAGAATTGTACCTGCTCTATGTGTCAGAGAAGGACTTAAATGTAAGTCTTCCTGACTCTAAGGCCAGCTTTCTATTATGTATGACTTCACATGTATAATTGATATCATATTGCTTGCTTTCTCGGTGGGTGGGGGAGAGATGACAAGAAGGAGAGAATTTGCAACTCAATTTTTAAAATTTAAAATTTAATGTTAAAAATAAAGGGTTTTTTTTTTAAAGTACTGTCTCAATGTTAATGATTTTCAAATCTACCTATCCTGCCCTAAACTCTCTGCTGAGGTCCAATCTCACATCTCTACCTCCCTTTCAGGTATCTCTATTTAAATGTCCAGTAGACTTCTTAAACTCAATATGTCCAAAATGAACTCATTCTTTCCTCCTAAATTCTCTCCTCCTCCTACTTTCCCTATTCTGTAGAGGGCAGCACCATCCTCCCAGTGACACTGACCTGGCTGTTCCACAAACAAGACACTTCTCCTGGGCATTTTCTCTGGCTGTCTCCAATGCCTGGAATACTCTTCCCTCCTCATCTCTGCCTGCTGACTCCCCTGACTTCCTTTAATTCCAAACTAAAATCTCATCTTGCACAGGAAACCTTCCCCAACCTCTCAATTCTAATTGTTTTCCCTCTATTGATTACTTTCTATTTATCCTGTATATAACTTTGTATAAATTTGTTTGCGTGTTGTCTCACCTGTTAGATTATAAGCTCTTTGAAGACAGGGAATTCTTTCACCTCTTTTTCTATTCCCAGGGCTTAACACAGAGCATGGTACATAGTAGGTGACGTACTGAATATTTGTTGATTGATATTTTGCCCTTCCTTGACTTTTATGAAATTTGTACCCTTATGGTTCTCCTACCTGTCTTTTCCTGGATCTTTCTATCCCCTGCTTCCTAAGGATGGAAATCCCTAAATGCCCAGTCCTAGGCCCTGTTCTCTGCCTTACTCATTCCCTTGGTGTTCTCATCAGCTCCCATGGGTTCAGTTATAATCTCTATGCTGATATGTCCCAAATCTATACATCAGGCCTTAATCTCTCTCTCTTGAATTCTAGTCATCCAGCTGCCTACTGTATATTTCCACTTGAATATCTCACCAACATCTCAAACGCGTGTTCAAAACAGAACTAATTATCCTCTTCCCCAAATCTGATCCTTCTCCAAACATCTCTGTTTCTTTTGAAGTCACTACTACTAGCATAGGTTCATCAGAATCATTCTTGACCCCTCACATACCCTACTTTTGTGTGTCTAATCATTTGCTAAGTCTTTTCTATTTTACCTCAACAAGAGCTCTTCCTTTCACATAGTACCACTCTGGTTCAGACCCTCACCTCTTAACTGAACTAGCATCTTATTTGATTTGCCTACTAACAATCTCTCCTCTTTCTAATTCATCCTCATCAGCTATCAAATCTTCCTAAAAGCAAAAATCTGATCATGCCATTGCCCTATTCAGAAATTTTCAGGGGCTCTCCATTGCTTCTAGAGCAAAATATAGACTCTTCATCTTGGCATTTAAAACCATCCACAATAAGTTTCCAATCTGCCTTTATAATATTACGTCATATTACATCCTTTCACACACATTGTGTATTTCAGGCAAACTGAGCTACTAGCTATTCCTTAACTTGACTTTCCATCTTCCCCTTCTTTGCATTTGTGCAGGGCCTTCATTACCTCCACATGCATTCATTACCTTCACAAGAGGTATTCGTTGCAAGGTCTATAGCTTCAGGCTTGGTCTGTTGCTGCGTCCATTACCATTCCTTGTGCTGGTATGCAGCCCTGGAAGCCTGGGTCCTGAGCCCATCTTGAAGGCTCTGCAGAAGCCTTCCAGAATAGACCCTGTCCTCAGTGTCTGTAGGCCTCTGGCTTTCTCCCTGTAATGATGCAGGCTGGAAAAATGACTTACTGTGATTTCTCCTTGAATTTCTTCATCATTACTTGATCTGTACTCTTCCTAGAGTGCTTGTGGGAAAAAATGAAGATTTACTGATTTTTTTTTATTCTATCACCATTGCTGATCTCTGTGTACTATTAAGATTTGGTCTTTATTGTAAAAAAAATGACTAAAAATGGGATTCTCTTACTTGTAGAAGACCTATAGCTATTCCTTCAAATGAATAGCACTACTGAAATATCTAGTCAAAATTTGTAATGCCATTGCTGTTCCTTTAATAACTCTTACTGCTTGCTTGAAACAAGTAGGAGAGTTTTGTTTCGCTGTGTGCCTACTTAGAAATAGCTAATTGTGACATTAAAATAGAATTATGTGATACGATTTAATTCTGTAACGGGCATTAAGAATTTTTCACTCATTTAGGGAAACTTTTTCACCCAACCAAAGAGAGTAAACAACCTGTTATTTACTTTGTGTACTAATTTTATGCCTTATTTATTATGCTTTGGAGTTTTAAATAGTCCCTCTCACTCTTTTCTCAAATGCAATTTCATAGCTTTTATATTGTTTTAACCTGGACCTGTGATTTCATCAATTTGGAACTCTTCATTTATAAATTCCCTCTTCATTCTGTGATTTGTAGTCTTAAAGAATTGCTTGGTCTTGAAAGGTATATAGCTGGTGTTAGAGGTGTGTCTCAAAACAAAGTCTATCTGATTCTGAGATGGGCCTTCTTTATATTATACCACATTACTTTTTTTAATCTTTAAAGTTATATATAATAATACATTTGTATTACATTCATTAGTCTGTGCATCATATAGAGAAAATGTTTTATGGCCCTTAATGCTATAGAAGGAGCAAAGCCTATGTATGTGTGTATGTGTATGTAAAAATATACATGTATATACACATACATATAAATACAGAGAGAGAGACAGAGAGAGCCTGTGTTGCATCTTAAAAGAAGATGAGATATCATGTGTGAAGAATAAAAGAAGTCCAGTTTGACTGGATTCAGAGTCTTGGAGGGGTCATAATATCCAATGAGGCTGGACTAATAAGTTGAGATCAGATTTCATAGAGCTATAAAAGTTAAGCAGAGGATATATAATATGTGTGTGTGTGTGTAACATAGGCTTTGCCTCTTTTATATCATTAAGGGCTCTAAAACTTTTTCTCTATATGAAAGGCTTTAATGATTGTTTTCTAGTATCAGAAGAGTTGTACATGAGAATGATTCTGACTGCCTTCTTCTCTTTTACTACCTCCTACATTCCTGCTAACTCTGATACATAGTGGCATACAAGTTAAAAAATTTAGTGGAAGAAGGGTATGGTTTGGCTTTTTTTCTTATGTATTTAAAAATTAAACACGAATTTACTTGTGATGTATGCTCTGATATTTTTAAATTGAAAAGGATCTTAAACTTGGGCAAGTCAATTCTGTACCTTATGTTACTATATATTTTAATCCAATAAATGTTTGTTGTTAAGAAGTGAGTGGTAAAGAATTGGAGACAACAAACCAGTGCAGACACCTCTAAGACTTTATAAGTACAACACAGGAGAGATATAACACAGTAGCTTGAGGGGATGACAGCATCAAGGGAAAGTATGAGTATTTTTGTTTTCAATGAATGGAGAAACTTGGGAATAATCATAGATAGCTGGGATGGAATCAATAGAAAGGGAAAGATCAAAATGTATTTAATTTTTCATTGAAGGATGATGCCTTAATTTTCATTCTTGATTGCCTTCCATTTAAGAGCCCAGTACCTCATGTTTAAACATGTTTTTAAGTAAAATTTTTCAAGGTCTAATTCAATTGTAAAGTATTTTACATTGTTTTCTTAAGGAAATATTTAATTTAGCCATCAATATGGATATTATATTTTAATAGCAAATATTTATCTACAGGAGAATATTAAAAAGTGAACCTCCATATCCCCAAGAAATGAGTGCTTTAGCTAAAGATATAATTCAGCACCTCTTGATGAAAGATCCTAAGAAAAGATTGGGTTGTGGTCCACGAGATGCAGATGAAATCAAAGAGCATCCCTTCTTTCAGGTGAAATTAATTCAGTTAATATTTATTGTATCTACTGTGTATATAATACTATGCTCTATAAAATGATTGTCTATAATCTTTGCCCTGAGTCATTTTTATTATTATTTTCTTTTAAGACTACTACTGTCCTCATATCATGTGAAAATATGATGCTATTGGACCACATTGGTAACTGGTTGAATCCAGAAATTAATTTCTATTTATATATTCTAATTTTATGAGATATTGCTATCACTTTATCAACTTTTATCCAAGTAAACTTTTTTTATTTTACAAAGAGAGCTCGAATATGCTAGGGTGTGTGTTTGTTTTTTCTGTAAGAGATCTCTTAGCTAATTTAGAATCTACATATTTCTTGGTGGTTTATTTGTAGTAGTATAGGATAGCTTTTTACTTTTTATAGTGGTTTTTACCTATAATTTTTTAAGATTAATAGCTGTCTTTGGCCACCAATTTAGTTGTCTGTTTTGGTCAGTATTGTCCAGAAAAATTCCAGAAGATTGTCATTGGGGGAAGGGAGAATCGGTTGTTTTGTTTTGGTTTTTTGGTTTTTTTTACTCTTTGGATTATGAAATTGACAGGACACCATCAAACTTAGTATCCCTCTAAAGATGCAGCATTGCTAGCTTCTATGCTTTTGATTTCAAAGCAGTAACATCATATTAAGGTGGTGCAGTGGACAGAATTCTGGGCCAAAGTCAGGAAGACTCATCTTCAAGCGTTCAAATCTGGCCTCAGACACTTACTAGCTATGTGACCATAGACAAGACACTAAACCCTGTTTGCATCAATTTCTTCATCTGTAAAATGAGCTGAAGAAGCAAATGGCAAATCACTTTAATATCATTGCCAAGAATGTCCCAAATGGGGTCATGAAGAGTCAGATACTACCAAAACACCTGAACAACAACCTGACAATATTTATAATCCAAAGTCACTATCAACTTTTTGGGGTTTTTTTTCTCTCCAAGAAAAATCTTTATATGACATTTACCCAGAAGACATGAAAAAAATCATTAAAACCAAGAAAATTTTGAGTATTAAAAAAAAGCAAAATCAAAAATGTGATTCTTAGAATAAACTTTGGATAGCTGATATCAAAGTTTTCCAAAGTTATGTTAAGGACTGCTAAGTTTTAAAGACAAACCTACATTCTATGATGAGTTTCTGAGCACTTTAAAAATAAAGTGAATTTCTCAAGATATAACTGCAAGCTCTGTAGTGTCATATACCTAGAAAGATTAGTGTTTAAACTAACAATACCATCTCTCTTTTGAAAGATAAAATTTAGCGGTTTGGCTTAAAAATTAACCTCAGTCAATAAAATTAGTAGAATTTCAGAATTGGAAGGTGTCTCAGTAGCCTTCTAGTCCAAGTCATATCTGAAAAGGATTGATTCCCTCTTTGGTGTTCTCAACAATCAGATATCCAGGCTTTGAAGATTTCCAGTGAAGAAGGTCAGTCAGTACATCTCGATCTGTACTGTCCTAGAGTCAGAGCTAAAAAAGACCTCAGAGGACATCAAGTCCAGCCCCCTCATTTTACAAATGAGAAAGCTGAGAGTGAGATAAATGACTTAAGTAACTTGCCCAGCATGACCTAGCCTAATAGCTGAGTGTCTCAAACAGGATTCGAACTCAATTCTTCTTGACTGCAAGGGCAGCTAGATGACTCAGTGAATAGAGCTCTGGCCCTGGAGTCAGGAAGACCTGGGTTCAAATCCAGCCTCAGACACTTATTACTTTGTGACTCTGGACAAGTCACTTAATCTGTGTTTGCCTGAGTCCATTGGGGAGCAAATGGCAAACCACTCCAATATTCTTGCCAAGAAAACCCAATGGCCAATATTGGCATGCTATGGTCCACAGAATCACAAAGAGTCAGACATGATTGAACACTATAGTAACTTCTTGACTCCAGACCCATTCAGTCTTTACATAGCACTGCCTAGGCTGCCTAAGCAATTCATTCCACTTCTGCGTAAATAATTATTAAGAGTTTTTCCTTACTTCAGGTCTTTTTTTTTTTCAATTTCTACATAACACTGATAACTCTTCCCTCTGGGCCTGAAGAGAAAGATTGTGATCACCCTTGCAGATGACAGCCCTTAAGTGCTTGAAGATACTGATCTTGTCCCTTGTATATCTTCTCTTCCCTAAACTAAATGTCCCCATATTCTTCAACTGGTCATGAATTAAAAAACCTTCAGTATCCAGGTTGCCCTTCTGGATGTTCTCCAGCTATTCAAGGCTCCAAGGGATGATTCATTTTGAATGGAAACCATTACTGTGTCAATGAAAACAGCACTGAACTGGGAGGCTAGAACTACCGTTGACCTGGACAGGTCACTTTCCTCTCTAGATTTTAAGATCATAACTTATAGAATTGAAGGGGTTGGACTAGAATGATCTTTAAGGTCCCTTCAAATTTGAAAATGCTATGATCAAATTTATTCCCACTTTTTCCACAAGAGGGCATAAGGAAAACACTTTGTATTAACTGATTAAATTTAATAGAGCAGTGTCTGTAGGAATATATAGGCTCATCACATTTTTTTATTATTCTCCATACTATTAGTTTCTGTCACATAGTCACTATTGGTAACTAGTCACTGCCTCACACTATATACCCAGAATCATTTAAAAAGAGGTTCTGAAATAAACATTTAGGGAAATGTATTGAGAATATGGGTTTGTTTGGTTTGTTTAAGTTTTTAAAAGACTAACTTGTTAAAGTACTAGGAAGAATATAAATAAGAAGGAAAGATGTCAGGTTATAACTTTAATCTAGTACTACCAAATATGTTTTATAATCAGGGTAAATATTGCTATGAAAAATAGAATCAAGGGGAATTGAGAAAAATTTGAATGAGGTTTTTATCTATTATCATATTTTTAATATTTAGAAACTACTTAAACCTTCTATAGGATCATGCAATCCTTCCTCCTCTAACTACCACTTTCTTCCCAAACAATCTGCATCAGGTGATTAGAAAACTACTAAAAGAAAAAGAATAGGATCAGCGAACATAATTCATTTCTGAAAAGGAAAGAAGTTGGAGGGGAGGGGCGGGAGATGGGTGAGATGTGGGCTGAGACTTGAGAGGAGGTGAGAGCTCTGTGCCTATTGGGAATGAAGAATGAAATTAAGGACAAAAAGAGGATTTTTCGCAACTCTAATTATATCAGAAAAGAGTAAATGAATAGCAACTGGTCTACCTCTTTGGTGAGAATTTTCAATTTTTGTATCTTTTCTTTAGCCTGCTACCTTTCAAAAAACTTCTGGATGAAAGAATTTTTTTTTCCTTTTTTGTTGCCCCCTGGAGGATACTGCAGTATTCTAAAATATATGGTACCTTTCAATAGTAGCATTCTGAATGACAACTGTGATTTGCATTTTTTTTAAAGTCACAGAATTAAACTCTTAACTACCTTTAGTCCAATTTGTTGAAATTAAGTGATTCTATTCAAAATCATTTTTCTCTATTGTTTTATTTTGTTAATTACTACTTAATTTTAATTTTATGTTTTGCTTTAGAAAATAAATTGGGATGATTTAGCTGCCAAAAAAGTGCCAGCACCATTTAAGCCAGTAATCCGGGATGAGTTAGATGTCAGTAATTTTGCAGAGGAGTTTACAGAAATGGATCCCACATATTCTCCTGCAGCTCTGCCTCAGAGCTCAGAGAAGCTGTTTCAGGTAATTTTAAAAAGCAGATCTCTCTAAATACATTTATATATTCAGTGTACATATGTTTAGAAAATCGATTATTAGTTTTTCCTATCTTTACATGGTTTTAACAGTCTTTTAAGAAAATGTTCTTTAAATGTTTCTTAACTTAGTGTAAGGGGGTGTTGTAAGGCTACAGCTATCAATTACATTTGCTAGATGTTATAGTTTATTTTATAGTTATTGTTTTAAGGTATTTTAAGAGTTTATTATTACTATATGAGAGGCAGCCTGGTGTAGTAAATGGAGAACCACCTTTGGAGTCAAGAAAACCTGGATTGAAGTCTTACCTCTGACACTTAGAGGCTGTGGCTCTCAATAACCCATTTAAGTTCTCTTTGTCCCCAGGCAACTCTGTAAATTGTTGGTGAGGGGCTAATCTACATTGGCAGAGAGTGTTCTATGAGTATTCTAGGTGCTCCCTACATTGATGAAATCACAGGTCCAGGCGAAAAAAAAAAAAAAGAAAAAAGTTTAATGTACAAAAAATTAATTGATTTGTAGTTCTACATGATAGCTTTTATTTCTTAAAACTTTTTATAGAAAATGTGCTGAATTATTTTACTTCTGTATAGAATAAAATGTTGATCATTACAATTATGGGTTTCACTTCTTATGTTTGATAATTATTTTTTAATTACTTTCTACTTGTTAAGCATTTAAAAAAGATTTGCAATTTAAAAATAATCTCTTATTATACTTTGAGATTTTATATCCTGACTAATAGGCTTTAAGTCATGGATTATAAATACAAATACAAACAAATATATTATTTAGCAGTCCTATCTGGGATTAAGCGTCATTGTCCTGTTGACATATCATTGCATTGGTATACTATATTATCTTTGTAAATTGCATGAAACTTTGATCTTAAATTTATTTGGGCTAAATTAATCTAGTAATAGGATCAAGTGTTCACAAAGTGTAAACTTTATGGTGAAACCCATGTTTCCAATTTAAAGTAGCACTTGTTCTAATGTCACCTCAGCTTGTTTTTAATTCCCTAACTATATGTTTCTTTGGAATCTGTCCACTTTGAAATGTGTGCTTTTGTTACCAATGAAGAAGCACTGAAGTTAGGAATCATTTTTTTGAAATGACAAAGAAAGCATTTTTTAAAATTTCTTAATTTTAAACTAATTTAACTATGCCAGAAGGTGGCATATTTTTCTTCTAAAAAGCATCTGTCTACCTTTTGATTTCTAACAAAAATGTGTATTAAACCTTAAATAAAATAATAGCTACCCATCTTTTAATTTTTTTCCTCTTTTTTCAAAAATTTTAGAATCCTAGCAGTTAACCAGACTTAATACTTTCGGTCTATAAGATCTAAACCTTTATCTTATTTTTTCTTATTTCTCTCCAACCCCAGGGATATTCTTTTGTTGCTCCTTCTATCTTATTTAAACGCAATGCAGCTGTCATAGATCCTCTTCAGTTTCACATGGAAATTGAACGTCCAGGAATAACAAATGTTGCCAGGAGTGCAATGATGAAGGTAGATAGATTTTTTTTAAGCTAAAAAATGTATTTGTGGTTTGAATGAATTCTGATATGAATACTTTAACAGTAATATTTGTTTCTTAAGAGGTCTATGATATATTAAAGTCTTAATGTGAGAAAGAAATATCCTGAAGATGTTTGATATGTACCTTTTGTTCTGAAGAACTGTTAAATGCTGGTATAAGCTTTTAAAAACAATATAATAGGGTTACATAATTTAAACGAATTTTAACAATGATGAAAGAAATAAAAATCTATTTTAGAACTTTGTTTTAGTGAATATCAAATGTTAATTAATATTCTAAGATGGTCTTACTTTTAAGTATTATATATTAATATTATTTCTCTAAGTTATGCATTGTTGATTTGTTTCTAGGACTCTCCATTTTATCAGCACTATGACCTAGATCTTAAAGACAAACCTTTGGGAGAAGGAAGTTTTTCAATTTGTCGAAAATGCTTACATAGGAAAAGCAACCAAGCATATGCAGTCAAAATAATAAGCAAAAGGTATGAATGTTTTTGAAAATATTTTTGTGTTTTTATACCCATACCACCTAATTAATTTTATAAGTGAAGTTTTTCCAAAAAAAAATCATGGTTCGAAACATTTTTAGGATTTACTCAGAGTTTCAGTCCTTTGGTTCATAATTACATATACTTATTTAGCACTTTACATCACAATTTAACATACATTATTTCATTTCTCACAATAGCCCTGTGAGAACAAGCTTGTACATGTATTATTTTTCTAACTTTATAAATGAGACTCAGAGAAGTTAAGGAACTTAAAAAGGTCATATAGCTTATAAGTGGATGAGTCATAATTTTAATACATTTCTTTTAATTCCTTATCTAGTGTTCTTTCTACTATGACATGCTGTCTCAAAAGAATAGTTTACACTAGATATCGTACTTTATAGTAACAAATTTTTTCACAGGCAGCATGCATCTTTATAATGCATTTTAATAGAAATGTTCTTTGCTTCTGACAGGGACATTTAACTGAGATAGTTTTATTAAATGTTACTAATAATCAGATTTGTCTGGATTTTTTTAGATGCTATTGAATGTATGCAATTACTTTTCCCTAGAAATTAGTCTAGCATTGCCAGAGTGTATTGATTTGCTTTACGTGACTATACTTCCTTTTTACAAGGAGGAGTTCTTTTGGGAAGTACAATGGGGAGAGAGTCATTGAGGCATGATAACAATATTTTTAAAATCATAAATAAAACATTTCTAGTAAAAAAGATGTTAGATTACTAAGGGTTATTATTAGGACTAGCAAAGAGATGTGTTTGTTTTGGTAAATGATTGTTCTGACTTCTCTAATTGTACCACATAATACAGTTACCAAATTATGAGAGATAGGGAGTATTATCATTTGACTTGGTTTTTAGGGGCTTAGACAGTGATTTTCTCTGAAATAAATGGACTACTTGTCCAAATGAACTGTACAAGTCATTGCTTTCACAAAAATTTTGTTCTGCCCTGACACTGATTTTAAGTTTTTGGTACACGTTAAATAAAAACAGAATTAGATTTAGGGTAGTATTGGATTGGAAATATGATTGAATAGATTGGTACAATATGGCTGCTTCATTTTACAGAATGGAAGCCAACACTCAGAAAGAAATAACAGCTTTGAAACTCTGTGAAGGACACCCCAATATAGTGAAGTTGTATGAAGTTTATCATGATCAGGTATTTCACTGCTAAACATAAACATTATCGTTTCTTTGCCTACCATTAACTGACAGGATGGTTTGATATAAACATACCATTTTTCATAATAGAAGCATATGCTAAAATTAGACCAGATGTTAATCTTTTCTCTTATGTATTGTTAGAGACTCTCCAAAATCAATTAATATAGGGGGTCCTTTATTTTTCTAGTATCCGCCTTTTAACTCTCAGAATGTTAAGAAGTCATTTCTTTGATCATGTAACTAACTGTCCTGTAAGCATTTATTTTGCATTTGGTCCATATTCCCTTTTTTTTGGTTGGTTCCTTTAGTTCTAAGGAAGTAACTTTAACAAAAAATTGGTTACTTCAAACACTAACAGTAATTAATTATACATTCAAATAGTAAACCCTGATGGTGACTTATTTTTAATTTGGAAGAGTACTGTTGGCAAAAATGAAAACATATAGCTCATTTGACAATCTTTTTGTGGCTTTAATGCCATTTTGAGTGACACTACAGGTCATGATAGGAAAGAAATTTCACATGCCATTGGAACAGCACCTACTCCCCTCCCCAGAATCTTTATATCAGATTCATATATCTGTCCAAACTAGGTATGTGGTTATGTGCAATTGCACATAAAATGGAAGAAGACATTTAATAAGTGTTTCATCTTTGTTTTCCTATTGCCTAGTATAGTGCGTAGCTCATACGGTAGTAACCCTTGATAGATGTTTATTGAAATGAATCAAATTGCAGTCAATTAAAGGAAGGAAGGGCTGATTGTGGTACAAGGGTTAAATGTTAGTGGGATCTGGACAATGCTATCACTGCTACTAGCTACATTTTTTTTTGATGATTCAACTGCCATAGCTGTAACCTCATTCCTAGGAGACCTACTTTCCCCAGCACCGGATAGATAATTACTCAGCAATCCCTTCTTTCCAGAGGGGCTCTTGAAGCCTCACATCCTAGCCTCTTTAGGCAGAAAGTAAAGGAGACATCCAAAAGTGTAGATTTAATGTTATTTACCCTGTTCCAGATAATAAGACCAGCTTAAACCAGAGGCCAAGTGCCAGCCTCTGTTTTTCCTTTTCTCTGAGCTTTCTTGCTTGTCCTTCCACTAGGAACCATGAGATTATTGACCTAGGACAGCTCTAGTGTGATAACCCTCATTCACTGAAATATCTGACCAGGATAGTGGAATTATAGTGGGGTCAAGAAACAGATTATGTGAGCGAGCTGGCAGTGAGAAGAGAAGTTGCATTAAATATAGCTAATCTGACAAAGAAAATAGTGTTTGAGGGACCCCCAGATCATTGTGTCTGCAGCCACCTAAGCATTTGGATGCAGCTCCCTCAGCCTTTTGTTCTCATCAAGGGTCAGAGAATCATCTTAACTGAAGGCACTTGGGATTGGAGAGGAACTTATGGCTCTGAAACCACACACCCACGATCAGTGCCTATGCTGTGAGAACAAAGCTGAAGTTGTAGCAGCCAGAGGAAAAGATGTGACCAGTGGCAGCTTCAACATTTTTCAGACTTTCCTCCTGTACCAGTTCCTATTACTGGCTTCTCCTTTCCTTCCTTCCTTCCTCCCTCCCTCCTGCTTATTCCCACTTTCAGGTGTTGTTAATGTGATGAATTATGAGGGGCACTGTATCCTCCTGTCCCCATATCACCACCCGAGATATCAAGGGGCATCTGAAACCTATTTCCAACCTAAAAGTCAGAGGTAAGACTTGCCAGCTAGAGTTCTGAAGCTACTATGCATTAAAAAAATCTCAGATTAATCTCCAAGCAGGTGGCATCAGAGGGGATTGGCCCCTGACTGGCAGGTTGACAGCAGATCTCAGGTACCAGATTCCTAATGCCTAGTTTATATTTATATAGTCAAAAGTTATTATTTGCTTTTGTATTAGTTTTATGCCATTTCTTACTTTTTATGCAGAGGAGCCATCAGAACAAATTGCTTCTCATATGATACAATCCCATATTTTCTTATATAAATGTGGTATTCTTCCTATATGAAAACTGTTAACATTTCATCAGAATGACTTATTTTTTAAATTATTTTCTTAGCTCCTTGAATGCAGGGATTATGTCATATTTGTATTTATGTCCCCAGTACTTACTACAGTATATAGGCACTTAATAAATCCTTGTTGGTTGATTGATTTTCCAGTAGTGTTGCTGGATTTTCCTGAGCCATACTCTCATACCATCCTTTCTTTATAACTAATAGTAGCAACTGTATGAGAGGTATGACTTCAGACTGTGAACATGGAATAGTATTCTTTTTATGAAGCCAACTGGCTCAAATGTATGTTAAATGTTTAACCTTGACCTTCTTCATCTTATGAAAAATTATTTCAAATTAGCTTGGTTTTTGATAGCCTAAGAGTCCGTCTCATAGAGAGGTAACAGTTGATTTTTATAACTTGCTCATTACATACTGGAATGATGCACTTAATTTAACAGACTTTGCGTTGTATTTTTTTTTACCAAGTAGAAAAGAAACATGCTATATTCAGTTGATATTAGATGACAGTGAATTTCCACTCAACTCCTATACTTATATGTCATAATGAAATGGAGGTATCTTTGGAGGTCTCAGTGTCAGTACTAGTAGACTGGAAAGTCTGGAAAGTCCGGAAAGTCCTACCAAGATGGAATGGTTTGGAGGATGGCTTACCAACAGATCTTCTCTTCATCATTTTATAACTAGCCTAGTTAAATTTGGAGATGCTTATCATCAGGTTGACCCAAAATTGACAAAATTTTTTGCCACAGCAGTTGTTGAAAACTAATTTCCAAGTTGTGATAGGGTTATTAGCTGTGATAGCAAAGGACATACCTACCTGTACAAAACCATAGATTCTTGAATTATTAAAGAAGATAACAATGCAGTTATACTTAGGGCTTATAATCTAAATATTTTACCCTTTTTCTAAATTTGAGAATTCTTTAAGATTTAATTTTAAAATGTAGTTTTTCAATAGCTCCTATGTTAATATTCTGTAATAAAACACAGGCAAAGCTTATATAATTTATGAAAGAAACTGTAATTAATCATGGCAAAGTATTAGTATCTGAACCTTCATGAATTTGAGAACAAAGGTAAGTGTAGAGACATAGAGTGTCACCTGTAAATTTCTATCATAATACATTGGCAGCTTGACACATAGGTGTTTGTCATAGGCATTCATAGGAGCTCTGAAACTGATTATTTGGCTAACACTGAGCCCAGGTGATAGAATAACATTTTTATACCTTTTTGAAGTTGTCTGCCATTAAATAGTTGTATCATGTTCTCAGTCAGGGAGGGGAATCCAAAGTAATCATTGATCTTCTTTATTTTTAAGAAAGACCACAGTCTGGTCTGTACACTCTTAAAAATAAAGATCAATGCTGTTTCCATGTCTTAGTCAAAAGAAACTAGATTTCAAGGGTTGAAGTAATTCTTTCCATAGAGCAGGGATGCCTAACCTTTTTAATGTCATTGACTCCTTTGGCAGTCTGATGAAACCTGCCATTCTTTCTATTGTGTAACACCTTGGTATTGCATGGAATTCCCAGGAAATCATTAAGGAAAAAGATATGCAAATATTTTACTATGGTATTTTAGATTTTCCATCATCACCCAAATGAAATTCTAAAGAGCCATAATTTTCCTCATTTTTCCTATATTTTGTTACTTTGAACACCTATTATTTTAACAAGGAGTTTATATATTTTGAAATACATACAAGTGAAGGTGTTTGATTGGATAGAAAGGTAGCCTTAATAGTCAAGAAGAGCTGAGTTCAAGTCCCACCTCTGACAATACTGGCTGTTATTCTGGGATAATCATTTAACATCTCAATGATGCTGACAGCTAAGTTGCAAAACAGATGCTGATCTGTATTGGTAGAGTTTCCTTCCCAGAAGTTTCTTATTCCAGTGAAGTCACAGATCTGAACCAAAAAATTAAAATAAAAAAATTTTTTTTAACATTTCATAAGCCCCTAGTTATTTAGGGGTTATTTAGGGACAACAGATGGAAAGGCCAAGTGTTACATGACACCCCTGAGAAGTTCTCCAGCAGATTAGGTAGACCCTATATGAATGATTGATGGAAAAACATGGGTTCAGATAGCACAAAATGGGAACATTTGATGGGATCATTAACGGCATCAGCAGAAGATAAAGCCTTTGACTCATCAAAATGTAAAACACAATTGGTAATGCTCATAATAAATTATCTAAAATGTTATAAAGACTTAGCATTAACACAGACTTAACAGTATTAAGAATTCCACACACAATTATATTTGTTTTCTAGCTTCACACATTTCTGGTGATGGAACTTCTGAATGGGGGAGAGCTCTTTGAACGAATTAAGAAAAAGAAACACTTCAGTGAGACCGAAGCCAGTTATATCATGCGGAAGCTTGTTTCAGCTGTAAGCCACATGCATGATGTGGGAGTGGTACATAGAGACCTGAAGCCTGAGGTATAGAATAGTATGATCTTAAATAGCATCATTATTACTTATTCAATAATTGTGTGTGTTCTTTCTATTTCTAGGCATTCTTCTTAAATAGAAAAAAAACCCTAAAAGCATGCTTTTTGGATTTCTTTTTCCTTTCTATTTTAGTCTCAAAAGAAACTACCTTTTTTGCCAGTTGATCATCTTGAAGTTATACTTGTATGGTTGAGAGATCCTTTTATCGAATGAATACTTTATGCAACAGTTGTTAACTAAAATTAGCAGTGGAAATTTTGTAACAAAAAAAAATCAGGAAATATTGTCATACACACATACTATATTAGGGATTTTTTAATGATGCATTTAGAAAGTATATTTTTTTACCTTTCTGATTTATTTATTGCTCTGTGAATAGAAATGTAAAGACTTGCATTGCTAGTATCCAAATATAATTTTCTTAGTTTATTTAACTGTATTGTATGCACATTTTTAAATGTATAATTTATATTAACTATGCAATCACTTCAAATGTAGCAGCTTTTTGTGCATTTCTCATTTCTAGTTGTTCAATCTCTCAAATAGATGTTTTTTAAATAGTAAAATTGTGAACTTTAAAACCTCCTTTAGAAAACTAATGAGAAAAACAGTAATTTTGCTGTGTTTGAATGAACCAATTATTCCTATGTTATGTGTAACTGATAATTTTATACTAATGAATTCCTGTTAGCTTAGTACAAAATCGTATGTTCTTCTCTTTTAAAACATATAGTTATATTAAATGTTCTTTGATTATAATATACCCTAAACAGCATTTAAAATAATAATTTATTTGAAGCTTATTTCCATGTGAGTAAAGCCATAAAAAATATTTCTCTAGAAATAGAATTCATACCTTTAATTTAAATAACTTCAGTTTTTTAACACAGAAATCTTTGGATCACACCAATACAGCTGATTAACATATTTAAAATTCATCTTTCAATGGCTATAATTGCTCACATACTTTTATTAATATTATAGGTAATTGCCTAAAAAGATGTCTTTCATATATCTTCAGCTCTTAAAGCAGCCTCTGTGCTTCCTTCATTGCAGTTCTCACTCTCTTACTTGCCTCCCACTGAAAATATGGTGCTCTGTGTTAAAGATTAGATGTCTATTTTTAAATGTGAAAGCACATCACTTAAATGTTTTCCTGATAGACAAGGAACGAGCGTGATTTTTTTTAATTGGAAAGTGTTGAAATTACTGCTTTATGTCTATATAGAACCACGCATTTTCATATATTTCATTCTTTAATGATTGACCATCTCATATATGTGTCTGAGTATATGTACTCCCCAAATTTGACCTCTGATCATATTTAATTAATGAAAAATATTATACTCTTTTCATTTATCTAACTTGTAGACTTTTTAAAAATATTTTAATTGAGCTCTACTGTTAGCCTATTTCATACGTTCTTAGGTAAGTTTCCAATAATTTTTTTTTTTTTTGCTTTTTGGTGAGGCAACTGGGATTGAGTGACTTGCCTAGGAGCATACAGCTAATAAGTGTCAAGTGTCTGAGGCTGGATTTAAACTCAAGTATCTCAGGCTAGATTTGAACTCAGGTCCTCCTGACGCCAAGGCTGGAGTTCTAACCACTGCACCACCTAGCTTCCCCACGTTTCCAATAATTTGTAATCAAATTAAATTTTGGAGTAATAAAAAGGGGTATTTTGTAAGCTTTTTATAGGATATCTTTCATTTTGTGATTTAAATATTAGAATATTCTTCTGAAACTGAAGTGTTTCTCCTACCCTGAATCCTTATTTAATTAAGATCAGAAATTTATACTTCTTTTGGTGGTCAATTATGTGGCATTCATTGCTGGTTTCCTGTATGGGTAAAATCATTGCTACTACATGAGATCACTAAATACTTTAATAAGGTACTACATGTTTTTAAAATTATCATTTACTCATTTAGAATTTCAAAATTAGTTACTAATGCCAAAGTTGATTTCATACTTGAGGTGGAAAACATAGAAACTATAGTGCTTATTCCCTACTACCTCTGATTGTACACATCCTCAAACCCAATACCTGTCTCTAAAAATCTATTCAGTCTCTACACTGTGGGCTTTGGGGAAAGAGAAAATAAAAATTAGGAGGGGGCCTCCAATTTGGTGTGCAGATACTCAGAACAGGATAGAATGGCATTAGAGTCACTGAAATAAGAACAGTAGCCATTTGCCCTTAATCAGTCAAACAAATTAGCATTTATTAAGTTCCTACTATGTGCTGAGCACTGTGCTAGGCACTTTACTCCATCTGCCTTTTTAGCAATGGTTTTAGGGGCATCATAATACAATCACAATACAGAATAATGTTAGACATTTATAATATCTTTTTATTTCCATTTTAATAAAAGATCATTAGTCTATTCTGTCCCCACTTCCCTATCTTTTCAGTTATTGCACTACATTTAGACTTGACTTTAATGTACTGTGAAGCTACTTCAAGACTTAAAGAATCCCACTTGTTTTTCAGCCTTTAGTAGATGATTAAGTTCTTAATTATGGTACATTATAATGCATATAATCATAGCAGATTTGAGATCACATATCTAGATTTGAATATTGTAAAATTTAATATGCCTTAAATGTAATGAGTATTTTTAGCTTTCTTTTATTTCTTTGTTATTCCTCCTGATTTTAGGAGAAAATCTTCAACAATTATATTTAATGACAACTGAGCTGTTTTTCATTGTAATCTCTTTCTGTTCACTGCTTCCTGTCTTGCTAGACCTCTGAACATGCCCAAGTCTCCCCAGTCTTAAAAAAATAAATAAAAAATAAATAAACCCTTTTTACTAGGCTCTACAAGGTCAACTAGCTATCATCCTGTATCTCTTCTGCCTTTCTCTGCCAATCTCCTTTTAAAAACTGTCTCTGTTCTTTGCCAGTAGTTCTCTGACTTCTGACCTCATCATCCCACTGAAGCTGCTCTGCTAAAAGTTACCAGTGACTTCTTAATTGCCAGATCTGATAGCCTTTTTTCAGTGTTTATCCTTCTTAATCTCTGCTGAATTTCACCCTTTTTTTCTGAATATTCTCTCTTCTCTTAGTTCTTGTGATACTACTCTAGTTCTATGCCCCAAGCTTCTGCCCTGCACCTGCTTCCATTTTCTCTATATACTCTCTCACTTTGTGATCTCATCACTTCCCATACATTCAATTATACTCTCTGTTAACAAGATTCCCAGATCAATAATATCAAGCCCAAGTCTCTCTCCTGAGCTCTATACCAATCACTATGTGCCTTTTAAGTAATTCAGATTGCATGTCCTACAGGCATCATGTCACCCAGTCATGTCACCCAGACTTGTCCAAAACAGAACTCATTATATTTTCCAAAAAACCCACTCCTCCACTGAATTTCTATATTACTGTCAAGGCTATCATATCCTTTGTAGTCACTCAGTTTTATAACTTTAGCATTATCCTCTATTCCTCACTTTATCTTACTCTGCATATTCAGTCAGTTGCAAAATCTTGGCTTTACTTCCACAATATCTTGCCCTGTTTCCCTTTATCTCTACCCTCATAACCACCCCTGGAAAGTATACTGTTATAGTAAGTGAACTTATCCACAGCATTCAAAATTTCTTCATCTATTGTAACTCATAACCACCTCTCTGGTTCAAGCCTTCATCACCTCTCCCCTTAAGTATCCTCCTAATTGTACTCTCTAATTCAAGCCCCTCTCTTCTCCAATCCTTCTTCCACACCAAAGTGATTTTTCTAAAGTACGGTTCTGACGGGTCACCCCAGTCCTCCACCCTCACCACCCATATATACATGCACACTCTGTAAGTTCCAGTCGTTATACCTCTAGCTCAAATATAAATGCCTTTGGTATTTAAAGCTCTTCATACCCTTGCCCACCCTCTCACTTTACTTCTTTCCATGTACTCTAGAGTCTAGTCATACTGGCCTATTTCCTGTTCCTTGAACACTATAGTCTATTTCCTGTTTGGGGACCGCCATACCAGCTCTCTTCTTGTACATAGAATGCTCTCCGTTCTCACCTCTAGCTCTGCCTCTTAGAATACTTGGTTTCCTTTAGGCATCAGCTAAAGTGCCGTCTTCTGCATGAGCCTTTTCCTGATCCCTCAACTGCCAGTGGCTTCCCCAACAAGGTTACCTTGTAAATGCATTATATGCATTTTTAAAATACCCATATGTAAAATATCCATATATCTCTGCCTCTGGAACAAAAGCTCCTTGAGGGCAAGGACTGCCTTGCCTTTGTATTTTGTAATCCTAACACCTAGGATAGTGCCTGGCCCGTAGTGAATGCTTAACAAATGCTTGATTTATTCTACTTATCACAGGAAATTATATTTCCCTTTAAAATTTGAAAAAAAAAGTAGTGTAGAATATGAATAAACCAAATCATGTTGATGAAGTTGAGATAATTTTAATAAAATATGAAAAAGTACTGAAATATATTGAGTCAAAGAGACCCAGCTTGTTCACAGGACTTTGTTCCTAATGGGTAGCACAGATTCAGCTTTCACTGCAAAAACACTGCATTCCAGTCATGAAGGACAGAATATTCAGAGGCAAGTAGAAGGAATATCATCTATGAGAACAGCAAAAAGGCCAGTTTGCCTGGACTGCGGAATATGTTAAGGGAAGAATAATACAGCTAGAAAAGTAAGTTGAGCCATGTTAAAAAGGGTTTTAAAAGATAATCAGAAGCATGTGATCCTAGGAGCAATAGAGAATTACTGGAGTTCATCGAGCAGAGGAGTGGCTACTTGTGTTTCAGAAATTTCACTGTATCAATTGTTCGTCAGATGGATTGGTGAGGGAGAGACTTGAGTCAAGGAGACCAATACAAAATAGATGCGGGATAATTTTGGGAGGAAAGTACTAGCAGTTTGTGGAACCAGGAAGCAAGTCATGTCAAAAGGTGGTTCCAGAGCTGCCTCTGAAGGAAACTGGGATGGCATTAAAGAAGCATTCCAGGTATGTAG